CTTTCTTACCATTTAACTGATACATTTTAGAGATTTTTAAGGTGATTTTCCAGCATTTTTAGTTGTTTTCGGCAAGAGTATTGGTCAGGGCATATAGTCTTCCATACTTCTAAAAATAGAAGTCTACTCTAAGTTTTCGGTGACTTAGAAGCTACCTTCTCCTTCTCCATTTTTATTCAACTTTTAAATGGCTGTTTGTTTGCAAAAGTATCTATCCAGGCCATGCAGCTCTCTTCTCTTCAGTCAGACTTCTCTTTCTCCTTTTGTTTCCCCATGTTTACTACCAATCAGTACAAGAGACAATATGGTCCGAGTTTGCATGTGGGGTTGTTCAAGGGAGGAAGGGTGGAAGAGGCTGGACTGGCATCTGATTGGAAATATGTATTCTTGCTCTATGTTAGAAACCAGAATACATTTTCTCATAGATACGACATGATAAGTGATTTAAATGTAGATGGAAAAGTATTTTTAGTGTATTGTTCCTATACATATGAATTAAATGAGCTCTGTGGGCTTGCTTGTGAATCTAAGCAACCATTAGTTGAATTCCAACAAAAATAATTTAAGTTGACCTTTTGGAATATAATCATGTGTAATATGCCTTATATGCTTCGTTTTTAATGTATTTATCTCTTATTCCTCTAATTATATTGTAAATTCCTTGACAGCATAGGCCATCTTTTCTACTATATGCTTTCCCACATCTTCCATTTAGGGATTATGACTATTTGACTGGTGGATCATTACAGAAGTGGCAGCCAGTAGACCATAGAATACCTTTGGAGTTCTTTTATTTTCCCCAATTCACCCCTGAATACTATTAATTGCACATTGAAAAAGACTCACACACCAATGCCAAAAGAAATGGGGCTTTGAATAATTCACTGATTTGCTTATTTTTAATGGTAGCTGACTTGCCAGTTATCCTGTAACTTGGCCATTTGGCTAAGCTATAGCTCAGTAATAGAACTAAAACATACTTATGTCAAAATTAAATACAGAATGTATGCACACATGACCATGTGTCTGTGTGTGCCTGTGTACCTTAGAGTGTGTGAGTCTAACATTGTTGGCTATCTAGGGTTATTCTAGAGTTACTGTTTGTATGTTTGACTGCTTTTGCTGGCCTCTTCCTATTTGATTTTTAAGAAAAAAATATATGGGGGTGATGTCAAATAGAAAAAAATAATCTATAGACTATGAAAAACATTGGGAATCTAACACTATTCACTTTAGAAATGATGTGCAGCTCACAAAAAGCCACAGTTCAGGCAAGCAAAAATTGATATTGTTGAAATTAAAAATGGTTCTTTTATAAAGGAAGCTGACCAAAATTTCCAGTGGGGCTGTTGCCTGAAGGAAAATTTCCTGGGCTCCAGCCTCTGTTATGCCAAACAATGAACCATACAACTCTGGACAGATGGTTGGATTCCAAAGTGTTTCTCATGTTACAGTATTTTCTTCCTATTGTCTCCGGAATCCTACAAGGAAAAGAGAAAATGCTACAACTTTCAAGAAGTATAAAGAATATCTCCAAAAAGTATAAAGAATAAAGTATATTCTGGGGAGTCACAAGTACCAAACATTAATTATCTTAGAAATCTCTTTTTCCTTTTTAGAAATCTTTTCTTGGTTAAAATCTGATTGCTTATTTCAATAGTATGGCTTATCTCCCTTACTATCTTTCTCGCTCAAAACACAAAATATAACACTTGTGTCTTTTCCTAGAAGATCTTTTCTATGTTCCCTTTCACAAAGTATGGTTACACCATCCCTTCAGTTTTGAGCTATGAAACGGAACTCATCCTTAAGACCATTCATACCCATCCAGTCCCAGTACTGTGTTTACTCCCTGAACAGCCCTCAGATCTGTCCAATTCCCAGTATGTCTAATACAGTGACTCTGGTCTGAAGTCCTGATATTTCCCACTTGGATGACTGCAATAAATGTCTAACTGAGCTACTGGCAGTTGCCTTCTCCCTGCTCCCAATTCACACTATAGCCAAAAGAGAATGATCTTTTCCAAGTTCAAATCTGATTGTGATCTTAGTGCTTCCAATAGTGTCCTATGACGTTTAAGGTAAACACACAGAATTCCTTACCTGGCACACAAGGTCCTACACAGCCCTTGCTTACCTCTGCAGCCTCACCTCATATCAACTTTCTCCTTTTATCTCTAATTCAGCCAACTTGTCCCTCTTTCGATCCCTCCATTCTTTTTTATGTTAGGACTGTTCCCTACCGTTTTAACTTCATTAAGCCCTGTTCCTCTTTCAGAGCTTAATTCAGGCATCACATCCTCAGGGGACCTCCACTAACCTACTTTCATCATACCCATGACCAAGTCAAGTCCTGCTGTTTGCCCTCACAGAACCACATACCTTTTTTCTCTTTCACAGCACTTAGACAAAAGGAAGAGATTTATGATCCTGTGCATCACGAACTAGGGTTTCAAGTAAGGAAACCAAAGCAAATAACTATATTTATTTAGCAATCAACCTCTAAGATTCAAGCCAACATTTCTAAACCACAGAGAAAATTAATATATAAAAATATTATACTTAAGGTTCTCAAAGAGCCAGGAACTTTTCAGTAAAAAAATATCAATATTCTTCAGCAATAGATAATCTGGTCTATCTAGATTGCTGCTGAGCATGTAATTTAAGACCTGGAAGGACCTTAACAATTGTTCCAACTAACCCTCTTAAAATATAGATGAGAAAAATGAATCTTAAAAGTGAATCTTGGAGGTCTCGCAAATAGTTGATGATAGAGAATGAAGTGGAATTGGTCAACAAATATCTATTGAACATTATTTTGTATACTAGTTTTCCAATTTTCTGGTCCTCTCTTCATTACTACATGTTCTCTCTGCTAAAACCATTTACAGACACAGGGCTTTTAAAATTTATTTTAATTTGCCAGTGAAACAGAAGGCTACTACTATCTTAAGAGGATGATATAACACTAATAATAAAATATTACTATAAACCTTTAGGCAGAGGGATGATATATGCTGTTAAAATTGTATTACAGTGCTGTTTTGCAAAGTCCTAAAAAGGGATCCCAGGGAAAAGAACCCCCTTCTTGCAATTATTTAGGACTTGAAGAAAAGTGAGCATCCCACTCACCCACAGCTCATTTCAAGTGAAGTTTGTTCTTAACCTTCTCAACCACCACCTGCATTTCTCAATCTCCATGCCAACCTCCCATTACAGCCACCATCTCCTTTCTTCAGGGAATGGTGGGAATGGGATATCATTGCTACATGGCCTTCTGCTTCATATAGTCCACTAATTAGCTCTCTGACCAGCCCTTACTGCTTGGTTCTTTTCATAGAAACATAGGCTAGTAGCCAGTTTGTATCACACAACACTGACTTATGAGCACTTGAGCTAAAAGGGGTATTGAAAGCCACTTAGTCCAACAATCCAGTCTATACAGGAATACTTTATAAAACATCTTAAACAGAAGAAGGATTAAATTTATACTTAAGCTTAAATGCTTCCAGTAACTAATTCCTCACAATCTCACTTATGTGAGTGCTCTTTTAAGTAAGAAGAGTTTTTTATTCAAGAACTCTACTTGTGTTCTTCATCAACACATACATGATTCTTTTAATGAAATAAGCCTGTAACATAACTTTTTCACTTTACTGTGTAAAGCAGGCATGTGTCTTTTAAGACAAGGCATAGGTAGTATACCAGCCAGGTTAGAATAAAAAATACAAAGTTTAGATTACATAGTTAGCTGATCCTGCATTTTCTGTTTCTGTTAAGTCATAGAATAGAAAAAAAAAGATAGAAAATGCTTTATTGCTACTTCAAATTCAAAAAAAAAATTCTTATAGTGAGGCCTTTGTGTAGTACAGTACATTTTACCCCAGTACCTACACAGTCACTCACTGCTTAATATTTTCAGTGACTACTTCACTGCATGGACAAGTTAGGAGGCAGACGGACTAGAGCCATCCATGTATCTGTTACTTTCTGCTTTCTTCCTTTTCAGACTCTCTTGCTTCATTAATAGGTGTCCTAGGAGAGTGTCTAAGCCAGACAGTAGTTCTACTGCCTATTCTGGCAAAGTCAGAAAGATTTTCTTTGTTCATTATAAACAAAAACAAACTTCCTTTGTTTTTGTTTACAATATATATTCTTTAATAATGAGAAGACAGACCAAAAGATTTGTTAATAAAGTAATTATTTGGCATTCGTTTGCCAAATAATTTGGTATTTATTTTTGTACCATCTATAAGTTATTTTGTTTTTGAAATTACTTTGACTGCAATAGTTCATTACAATGTACTCATATTTACCTAAGAAATAGCTTAACTTTATATATGTCAAGTAGCAGTATAAGTAGATCCATCCATCTACATGATAGATCCATCCATATGATAACTCTAGGAAATTGGGTTTTCTAGGATATCATTTCTCTATTTTATTTGGCATTGTGCCTCACTGTGAAGAGCTTTAAATTTGGCATCTGTCACTGCCTATCTTGGTCCAAATTATATGATGCTAAATACCATGAAGAATACTGCACAGGGGAAATCAGCAGTGGGTTATGAGAGTGGTAAACTTCATATTACCATGTGCTTGAGTCTGAATATTAGAACTGTTAGCCAGATGCTTCCTGTAGACTTCCAGAGAGGCAAAAAGTGTGATGCCACTGGGATCCAGAGGCACTGATGTAAAGTATGCAGAAGATACATAAATCATAGGGCATTTTCATTTCTTTGGGCTCCACGTGATTCTGCTGACATCACTGCGGGTAACCAGGATCTGCATCAGGACCCTCTCCCTTCTGCTCTCTGATGCCTTCGAGGTGCCGCCCATCCAAGCCAGACCCTGCAGTAATTTCACACACTCCCCTAATAAAGTCCTCAGGGGCTGTCATGTATTTTCATGTGTTTGCCCTATTATCCCTCCCTGCTTGAGTCTTACAGATAATTGATGATACTTCAGTTAATCATCTTTCCCCCTCTTTTGTTCACCAGGTACCTCGGCCTTGAAGGGGCTCTTTTATTGAGAATCGATGTCTTCTCCTAGGTAATTGATCACCGCAGACCCAGGGACACTCGACTCATCTTCAAGGGAGGGTAATAGTCATGAATAATCAAAAAGCTGTAGCTACACTACTGCAGGAGTGCAAGCAAGTGCTGGACCGACTCCTGTTGGAGGCGTCGGATGCATCAGAGGAGGAGAAGAGCGAGGATCAGTGGTGGAGAGGTGAGGGCCTCATGAGAGGCACAGGGGGAGGGGAAGCCGGCAGGTTCACTCTCCTCTGACCTGCCTGAACGACATGTTTTCATCTCTGCCCTATTTTTCTTCTCTTGGCAGATGACCACCAAGAGATGAGTGGATTTCTAGGGCATGAATGGGACATGGGCTGCAGGCGGACGGGCAGGGGTGGAAGCCCACTTTGTTGCAGTGAATTGCTGTCAGTTCTAATTTTAGGCTTCAGTAGACATGAGGCTACAAGAAACAGTTTAGTTCAGGAAGAACAAAGGATCCAAGTGGGCTGGTGCACGTAAATTTCAATTATTAAAAAATTGAAGCAACTTCTCAATGGTGGCACACACTTTTTATCAAAGTAGGCTTTTGTGCCTCACCAGTTTCCATAGATTTCTGAGGTTTCCATAAATATGTCATCTCATCAGTCCATCTCTCTTATTTTGATCATCAGTACATTTCTCATGCTGTAGTCACAGGCCATTGGTAAAATACATAAATCCACTTATACTGATAAATACAAAGGGCATGATTATCAGGGCTTAAGAATTTGGCTTTATGCTCATTTCATAGTGTCATTCAGTTTTAGATGAGTCATTATTTGGGAAGTTTCCATCGCAAAGTCTAGAAAGTTAAAGCAATTCTTATTTCTTTAGCCAGTTTTGGTGGGGCAGCCTGCTTTTCTTAGAATTATTTTTAGCCTTTGAATAAATTTTCCTCCCTTTCTATAAATGTGTTCCTTTTATATGCTTTTAGTATTTTTTCATATTTTTAGTGACTTGCTATTCCCTACAGAAGTAAGATACCCACATAAAATTCATACTCTCCACCCCTTTTGTTGTGGTTAATCATGTAATGGGAAAAGGTTCTGAGAAAGTCTTTTTTCCATGTTCTTGTATATAAGCACATTCATTTTTACAGGGGCACTTTTAGGTACCTATAGAAATGTTAATTTTTTTTATAACCTGTCATTTGTGCTCCTTTGAAGATAAAATGCCTTATGTCCAGTCATTTCACAACCTTAGTTTATGTGTTTTCTTTCTTTACCTGCCAGATAGACCAAAGGGTGGCTTTGCTCACTAGACACACATGCCGGTGAGCCTGAGCACACGCTGGTGGCATCAGCCCCCTGTCAGGGCACAGTGGGTGCTTGGCCAGCACCCCCAGAGCATGCTGCAGTGTTGGTCTGCATTCTCCCTGGGGCAGTGCGTTTGGGTCTGTTCTACCTACTGACATTTTTCTCTTGTCCTTTTATTACATGGTATCCTTTGTCTCTTCAGCCCTAATTCCTTTAAGTTTTGTGTTTTCAGTAGTCAAAACTCGGAGCCCTCAGTAGGGTACCATTTCCTTCTTTTTCTTTCTTAGTGTCACAGAATAGAAGAGGTAATCAGTTTAGTTCCAGATAAGGCAAATCACTGCTGCAAAATCACTCCATTAACCCTGGACCTTCAGGTGAGCTGCTTGGGGAAGTGAGGCACTTCTGCTGGGCGGGGCTGACTTCTGGGGCTGCCTGAATCCTATAAAACAATCCGGGACCAAACCTGTGCAGAGCCCTTGGCTATCTCAGCATTAACCAAGCCCATGGGGGGCTGCGTGGCCCACCCTAGCACCACTGGTGCAAATGGCTGAAGTCTGAGCACAGAACCCTTCCCCAGGCAGGTGGTTTCTGAGCAGTTTTATCAGGCGGGTTGTGTGGCCCTTGAAGTCGTCACTCAGATGTGCTTCAGAAGAAAGGCATTAGTACAGGGGTCACTTATACTTAGCATCACAGGGCAAACTAGTAGACTCAAGCACAACCACTGTGGTTTTTACTTTTACCCCTCCCTCTTCTCAACCCCATCTTTTTCCCCTCAGAAAGTGTCCTTGTCAGCATGCGTGACTACCCCAAGCAAATTCCCAGTAATAGAGAAGGAACTGAAATCCAAACTGAAATGTATTTTTTAATGTTATTTCAGGGGCATCTTTTATTTCAGGATTCCCACTTGGACTGTCCACATTCTGATATGAGCTTTATGGAAAGGGTGGCATGGAGGAGGCAGAAATGAATTGTAAAGAATAGATTTTCCCCATCATCATGAAGAAATTTGAAAATACTTAAACTATACAGTGCTGAAATATGGTGAAATTCTAAGAATCCGGAAATCAATTTCTATTGTCATTTGATTATTCATTTTACCCCTGAGGTTGATGCTCATGGACAATATCCAAATAATTTCTCAGTCAAACTGGGACACTTTTAAAGCAAAAAGGAGCACCCTTAGTAAAGACAAGGACCACATAGGACTGTCCTAAGGGAGAAAGAGTGAACAGTCATCCTATTCCTGACTCTTCAGAAATACCACTCAGGAAATTTTCTCTAAATATATACTGGAAACATTTTCAGAGGTTGAAATTATGTCAGCTGCAGTAATAAGGCCTGGCTTTCCAGCAGATTGTGACCATAGAGGGTCCCTGGTCCCTTGGCTCTGCTTTCACTGGAGGAGTGCCATCACACAGTAGGTGCTCAGTAGTCCTGAGTTGCTGAATTGGGGGCATTGGGGGATGATGATTTCAGAGTGGTATTTGTAAGTCATCCTCAGGGGTCAATCCAGACCACTCATTGGTGTGGCCCATATGATATCCCCTCAATGCCAAGCAGGCCTTCCCCGTCGGGAGACATCCTGACATTTGCCCAGTAGCAAGGACACAGAAGCAGAAGCGCATCATGGACCAAGACAGAATTAGGTTTTTCATCTTTCTCTTCTTTCTGTTTTTCACTCTCTCTGTCATAGTTCTCTTGCCCTATGCAGCATGTCCCGTGTGGAGATAAGACTGATTGTTCTTTTAACCATTATGGTGTGATTTACAAAAGTGATGAGATGTGGTGCCTGTCCTCAGGAAGCTCACAGCACAAAGGAAGGACAGACATGGTCACGGAGCAGTGGGGTGGATGCCGAAAGGACCGGGCACTTGCGGGTTGGGCGCACTCGGGAGAGGCATCTCGGTTCCACTGGGAGCTCACGGAAGGCTTACGAGAAGTGACAATGTCGGCACTGGGTGCTGAAGTCAGTGGGCCTGTGCTTGACCATGAAGGGTTAGGGAAGAGCAATGCAAAAGTGAGGACAGGCTGTCCAAGACCATTAAAGAATTTTATGCGGGACGATGGCCTGGTCCACCTCATTTTCAGCAAAGTAGGGATAAAAAATGTGGAAGGTGGAATGGATGGGACAAGATAAAAGCAGGAGGTCTGACAAGAATTTTATTGATAATAAAAAGAAGGAAATGAATTTAGGATCCATAGAATTTGATAACCAGTTAGACTCATGGAGGAAAAGAGCAAAAAACCTAGACTGACTTCTGGTGCCCCACTGGGTGACTCAGTGAATGGTGGTAGCTTTGTCAAAATAAAGAAAAGAGAAACAGATTTAGAAAAAAGGTAATGAGGTCAGTTTTAGACGTATTGAGTCTGAAATGTCTGCAAGATAAGCAGCTGGAGATTTATACCTGGCAGTCATATATGCAGGACCATAATCCCTTACTCAGAACCCTGGGAGGTCACGTGTGCTTCAGAATTCAGAATTTTTCCAGTGATAGGAAGGTAGAATGGTGCATGTACCATCTGTTATATTCACACTCCAGCAGAAGCTGGGGCAGCATCTATAGGCAAACACTGAATTTTTTGCAGCAAAACTTTTGGCTAATCTCCCCAAGTAAGACAAACAAGACCATAGACATTCTCTAAGCAATTCAAGGCTGTTTGGGGTGCCAAACTTAAGAAAAAGCCTTCTAGTTTTCAGAACATTTTGAATTTCCCAAGTTTGGATAGGAGATTATGAACCTCTATCATTAGGTTTGGTGCCTATTGAGAGACTGAAGATATCTGCGAATGGGAAACAGGCCATTTCACAATAAATTTGATAGCTTTTCAGGTTTCATTGGGTTTTCTGTATTTATTGTCTATTTTAAGTGGCGTTTATAGTGAAAGTATGAAATGAGGTCTTGGATAAGTAAAAAGAGGTTTTACAAATTGACTCTCTGTATTACCCAGCTGCCACAAGCCCCAGATGCCATTCCATCTCAGCCCCTTTCTCATTTTACAGGGAAAATAATATTTCCTTTATTCCTGTCTCTGATTCTTCATGCAGAGATAGTCACTGAAGTGCTTTACTTCCTGCTAAAAACCCTTCTTAAATGCCTGACTACCCCAGTTTACCTGGAGGGCAAAGTCAGGCAGGGCCCTCCTGATAGATAGCTTTGTGCTTTATTCTTTGAGTCACAGCTACCAGCTTAGACCAGCCAGCAAAAGGTAGGGAAAAGAATGTTTGCAGTTGAGGTGCTTCATCATAACATGGGTAACTCAACAGCCTTTTCTTTGGCTGCAATTTCCTTACTTGAACTTTGACCTTTACAGCTTCACTCTCTGACGAGTTAAGGACCTTGATCCAGGAGGCAAAGGAAATGAAGTGGCCCTTCGTGCCTGAAAAGTGGCAGTACAAACAAGCCATGGGTGCAGAGGACAAAACAAACCTGCAGGATGCAATCGGCGCCGGGCTGCAGCAGTTGCTGGTAGGAAGAGCCTTACCACCTGTTCCTTTGACACCCCCAAGTGAGCCATTTAGCCTCTAAGTGTTCTAATAGATTAAATTTCCTTAAAGCAGAAGACAGCTCTTACCCTTATGGTCAGCTCTGCCAGATTGACTAATGTGGAGGAAATAGCCCTTGAAAAGTATCACTTGCCCATGAGCCCTTCTGTTGGAAAACCAAATTAAGTAAAAGTGAAGAAGGGAAGTCAGTGGGTATATCAGGAAACCTATCGTCCTGAAATATTTACATATCCTTGGTAGGCCAGGGCAGTAGTTTGGGTTTGGCCATGCCTCATAGCATTTTTACTTTGAAATGCTACTTTCTAAAAAGTTGGTAGCTTAAAAAAATTCATTCAGCACTATTTCATCAATGTGACTTGTGTATTGAAGTCTGGCATGTCCCTTCCCAGAGCTGGGATCCTCTTTCCTCCTCAGATGCAGGCTCTTCAGCAAACATCAAGTCAAAGTCATTGGCACGCTTATTCCGCAACTCACTTATTGGTATTAACCAAACTGATACCTCCCCCGGCCAGGAGGGGGCCTCAAGACTAGCAGGCTAAGATCCTGGGGATGCTTCAAGGAGTGCCATTGTCCTTGGTAGCATTGTTTCTTACCTACATTCTCTCAGGTGATTATAAAGAAAGAGAGTCTATTAGCTTACATGTATATTTTCTCACCATAAAAATACATATTTGCCTGGAGATCAGTCATTTTAAGCAATGCCAATATCCTAAACTTTTTATTTTACCAGTTTACATGGGAATGTAGTTTGGGGTCATCCCAAAATAAACGTATAGATACTGTCTTTGCCTATCAAAACAAAAATCAGGGAAAGATCCCCTGGTCTCCATACACATAACAGCATCTTGGGAGAGTTACTAGAAACAGTAAAACCCCCACCTTTCCCAGTCCACGAAAGAAACAAACAGACGGGGGCTAAGCAGACTGGGGCTGCAGGCAGAGGAAGGGGAACACTCAGAAAGAATGCCGAGGTGAGCCGGGGTGGGGGGTGGTTAAAGCAAACATGCTTGATGTTAAGTAGAGAGGTAGAACCGAGTAAGACTATATATTTGCATATCACTACGGAGTTTACAAAGTTCTTGCACATACATCACCTCATATAATTCTCAAAGTGACTATTACTAAATCATCCTCATTTGACAATTAAGGTTCTTGCCCAGAGGAACAGACAAGGGCTGGTGGCCCGTGGCTCGTTCCTCCGTCCCTGTCCCGATTCGCCCTCTCGGAGCCCCAGGTGACAAAGCCAAAAGGTCAGGTGGAAGGCCTGAGGTTGTTTGCGGTAAAGTGAGCTGTAGGCTGTCCAGCAGGGCTTTCCGCGGTGACGAAATGTTCTGTGCCTCTGCTGCCAATGCATGAGGCCCTGGCCATGCATGGCTCTTCAGCGCTCGAAATGTGCCCGTTGTGACTGAAGAACTGAATTTTTACTTTTAATTTTTGAAAAATCAGTTTCTATACAAATAGCCACACTGGGCAGGACTGCCGTTTTATTAGACAGTGTAGCTCTGAAGCGGCGGTGCCTAAAGCCAGACCTTCGGACACAGCACTAGCATCACAGGGAAACTTGCTGGAAATTCCGATTCTTGGGCCCCACCCTAGTTCTGCGGGATCAAAAACCCCAGGGGTGAGGGTCTAGCATTCTGCGTTAGACAACCCTCCAAAGGATGCTGATACACACGAGAGTTTGAGAGTCACTGTTCCAAAGAAAAGAATAAGTGGGTGAGTGAGGTGGACAGGAGGCCTGAACAGGGATGTGAGGGAGGAGGGGCAAGGTTAGGAGAGAAGGAGACCAACCAGAGAAAAAAACCCTTTGCCATCAATTCCCAGAACCACTGATGAACCTGGAGCCAGTTCCCAACAAGCCAATAGTCACTTCACCTGCTTGGAACACCTCACCTGATTCGGTGGTGGCAGGTACAAACATTAGCAGGCTTCCGTGGGAAGGGAGAGCAGGAGAGATTCACAGCGGGAGGGACTCCTACTTTGACCTTTGGCTCTTAGGAAGTTCCTCTGAATTGGGTTTCAAAACTCCCCTCATCCCGTCTGGCAATCATCGGCTCCCCTCGACGTGTTCAAAGCTGGTGGTGACATTAGCTGAAAAACCAGAGACTGTTTTAAAACCTTCATCTTGCTGCTTTAATGTCATTTGGAAGATGAGCTGTTCACAGTCGTTAGCATATTTAAAGAGTGCATGTGTTAATCCTTCTACTTCCCCTCTACGTATTGTACAGATGTCACAACTGAGGGAAATTGAGGCACAGAAAACTTAAGAAATCTGTGCCAAGCTCACAGGATCACTAGTGGCAGCTCTGAGAATCAGTCCATTAGGCTTCTTTAGGCCCTCCTAAAGATATTTAACCGCGAGTTTTTTGAACTCTGATTATCATTTTCTTTAGCTTACCCAGCAAGCAATAAATCAAACCACCACATCTCCTGAAGACTCTCAGTGTCAGACCCCAAGAGCACAAATGCTAACCCACTCTGTTTCATGAATACGTAGAACTCCAGCGCCCCCCCACCCCCCGTGAAGTCGTGCTATTCCTGGTATCTTAGCTTGTCAAAAGTGTCTCCAGTAAATTCCATGATTTGTTTTTGCCCCGCTGCCCTTTGGTGTCAATATTATACCTTACTGAAGCTGGATGGGTATGTTTCAATTGCTGACTAATAGTGAAATTCTGTTCTTACATAAAAGTAGTTAAAGACTGCTGAGTTTGACTTTTCAGGGGTCTCATCTCTTCTTACGTTTTTTTTTTATAAATCTAGACTTTCCATGATTTTTCTTTTCACCTTGAAATGAATCCTTCCTATAAAAAAGTTTCCCCTCCATTTGAAAAAGTAGTAGTATGCTTGGAGTGTAAACACCGTCTTTAAGCTCATTCCACAAATAACAGATCAAATTGAAGCATAGAATTGTGAGAGTGCCGGAGGTGGAGAAATAAAGGGTCCTTGGTAATGTTACTCGCTTAAGCTAAACTTAATCAAGAAAAATTGTCTGTGGTGCTTAAAGCTTTCTGTTCTCCACTGCCTCCCCGTTTCCTCCCACCCCACCCCTCCCCTCTCCTCCTTCCCACCCCCCAGCCTTTTCTCCTTTGGTGTGTGGCCACAGACATAAATTTATGACAGGGGCCAACCTCCTTTACACACCACACAAAGCTTGCTGACTTGAGAGAGTTTGTCTGCTCTGTCCCAGAAAAAACACCTGCAGGACGCTCCCTGAGAAACCTGGAGAGATGGGAGATTAATGTGGCTGTAATAGCCGGGCAGTGTTTTTGGTATTATGCCCTCTCCCCAGGTGGATGGGTCTTTTCCGAGATGATACCAATTATTTATTGCTGAAACATCTGTTGATAACTGCAGCTGCCCTTGTGAAACAAAGCATATCACAGGGTCACAGGCTATAGGGACCTAAAACCCACCTCATGCTAGTTTGAGACTATTCAGTAACACCCTCCAGCCCATGGGTTACCGTCATCTTTAATGTCTCATCGTGCCAAAGAAAATACTTTGTAAACACTGCCCTGCCTGCCCTACGGGCTTTGAAGCATTATTTCATCTTCATTGGTAATTTATATTCCAGTGCCATTGTGCTGTGGGAAAAAGAGGGGGAACCTTTTTTGTTTTCCATTTAATTGTATATCGCCTGACACTTTGACCTGTATTATTAGTATTAGTCAGAAAAAGGATTTTCTCCCTCTCTTATTTAAAAATAAAATTTCAAGGGAAAGTAAGCGCTCCTTCAGCTCCTTTCACTCACAACAATGTTTACACTCTGGGAGGACAAGATGAAAAGAGCCAGCCATTTTTTTCAAGTGCCGGAGAAGGCATTTCAGTTTTCGAAAGAGAACAGTAAGGCCCTTATAAAAATCATTCAGCAAAACCTTTGATGGATTTTTCAAAAAGTACTGAAGGCATTTAACGTCCGCGTCTCCTCGGCTTGGTAGCAGGCGGGAGCCGGGAGCTCCAATGGGCCAGCCCGGCCTTTCTCCTGAGCCGCCAGGGAGCGGAGGCAGCAGCCTCGAGGTGGATGCCGTCTTGCGGAGTTTTTTCAACAACTTTCACACTTCTACAAAGGACAATGTCTGTATAATGTAAAGAAACTATGAAAATAAAGCACTTTAAAGGGACGTAGAGCACATGTTTGGATTTGCATGTCTGCGGCAGTTGGGAGCAGACTGGGGTGCAAGGCGGGGAAGAATTGCTTGACAGACCCCGGTTTGGAGCACTCCCTGCGTGGCGGTCCTGATGTGGGTGGGGGCCCAGCCTCTCCCCACCGTGTTTTGGTAGAGGGAGGGAATAGAAATTTAGTGTGGTGCCCCTGCAAGGACATGTAGGGTTAACTTTTATAGATTGGCATAAGTACAGCCCAAGGAGATGAAGCTGGCTCTGAAGGAGGATTTTTTTTTCCCATTTCCTTTTCAACTTTATAACCATGAAGATGTGTAATCTTATAAACCTTTATTCCACAGTAATTTTTGTAAATACCTGTGCTACCTTACAGGGATTAGAAGAGGGACCCAAAAAAAGAAATACAAAAAACAAAAAATAAAAACCATTATTAGTTGTTTTCTTTTTTTCTGAAAAGGTGTAGAATAAAACAATTGATAAATATCAACAGCCATTTATAATTTAAAGAAATCTTAGCAAACTAGGAATAGAAGGGAACTCCCATAACCTTTTAAAAGTAACTAAAATTCATATATTTTTTGGAGAAAATTTACAAGTCTTCTCCTTAAGGTAAAAAACAAGGCACAAGGCACTGATGCCTGACGTCAGAGCTGCTACTTAACATAATACAAGAGGATCTAGCCAAAGAAACCATTAATTCTTTTATTAAGGTGTTATTGATATTCTCTTACGAACGTTTCACATGAAAAAACAATGTGGTTACTACGTTCACCCATATTATTGAGTTCCCCCCCATACCCCATTGAAGTCACTGTCCATCAGTGTAGTAAGATGCCACAG